TTGATGTAATGCTTTCCCACTCAAAAGAATATCTGAATGTCATCTCTGACATTCACTGTGTTCACAAATTAAACAGCCATCATGTATCTCTGTGGACTGGGATGCTGTAGCTGAGCAAAGTTAGCAAAGTCCTCTTGCTGTTGGGAAGCAGAGAAACAACGAGGACAGCTGACCGAATCTCACCGTGTATTGATCCAGCCATATTAACACTGATATACCGTTTAATGTGATTTGGAATCAGAAATAATGCCTGACAACAGTAATAAATAGCTTTGAAACGCAACATAAACAGCTGTGTCCGAGCATGCACCTGCTCCAAGCTATCAACTTCCTGCTCTGATTTCATCCACATTTCCGTAATTTGTGTCGTTAGTTTAACTAAAATTACCACACAAAAAAAGACGCCTTCTCAATAAAAACACAATATCAAATACAAACCCTCTAAGTAGAACTGTCCGCAACGTCTCGTTTCTTGTTGATTCAGCCAAAACAAAACGTTGCTGGCTTTGGAGGCGGGCTCAAGAATTACTGACAGGCGGATTGACGAATCAGAGCGACGTGATTGTAGTTCGGCTGAGAGGCAGACATGACAGCAGCAAATTGTTTATGTATTTATTTAATGAAACATTAAAATCCACATAGGGTTGAAAAAGGGAAAATATAAATTTTATCTGGCGAAAACAAAGCATTGAATAAATGACTGCGGAAGCCCGAAAAAAGAATTTAGACAAAATATATTATTACCACTACTACACTTCCAACGACAATAATAATAATAATAATAATAATAATAATAATAATAATAATAATAATAATAATAATAATAATAATAATAATAATAATAATAATAACAGGTTTTTATACTTTGATGAAAAGCAGTATATAACCCTGATTTTCATTAGGACTTTATTAAAAATATTTCTGTCTCACAGAACTGAAAACTGTTTTTATTTATTTATTTTTTTTCTATTCTGAAATGATAAACATAAGGGTTACAAAGAAAACGTGTTGTTTCTGTTCCTCTTTGATTTCTACTTAAGGTGACACCTACTGCCCAGTTCTTCACCGCTTTTGGTCCCGACATCCCTTTGCATCAGTGTGCAGGTGCAGTATGTTTCTTTATATTATCCATGTTTTTTCCTCTTTTATATTTGTAAGATTTAGAGTTACATTTTAATGCATTTTAATTGCAATGCTTTAGGTGTCAGCAAGTGAAATTCAAGTTGTCCTGTTTGAAAAATGACAGATTTGATTTTTATCCACTGCATTACTTTTCCATGTAAATAAAATGTATTCAGTCAAATATGTTGAATATTTAAACTATGTTTTAGCAATAAAATAGTTCTTAGCTCTGACTTTTGTAACTACCTAACTCATGAGATATGACATTAGCCAGTTTAATTTTCACACTTCCACCTAAATACTAAGCAAAACTACATAAAGTGGATATTATAGATAAATACGTTATAATATTATAATTATAGTATTTTGCTTTTCTACACAAAACTATTTACAAATCCCTATCATTTAAGTTTATATGATACCTAATTTTTTACGTATTGTCAGGTCTTGTAATTAGTTAAATTTCTTGTTTGTGTTTCAAAATGACTATAATCGCACAGCAAACAGAGACTAAAAGGATAAGAAATAAAACAGTAGCCTTGCTCTAATTTGTTTACTCCAACATACAATAGTGCATAAAAAAGGACCAGATCTCACCTCTAACATGTAGAAGCATAGTCCAGTTCTTAGTATACAGGAGAGATTCAGACATAAGTGAGAGAAAGAAAGTTCCACATACTAGTTTACATTGTAACAAACAAGCAAATGAAAAAGATAAATGTACAAATTAAAAAAGAAATCAAATTTTAATTATTATTTTTTGTATTTAGACTTCTTACCTTCTGGAGGAAGATGGACATCTCTGAAAACTTCATAGAGAACTATACCGAAGTCCCTTTTGATTATTACACTGGTGATTATGAGGATCAAAACTGCAACCAGACAAATGTGATTGAATTTGGATCCACATTGACTGTGTCTTTTTTCTCTTTCGTGATATTATTCAGTCTTTTTGGCAACATTCTTGTTCTTGTAATTCTGTTCAAGTACGAGAATGTCAAATCCATCACCAATACACTTATCCTGAACTTGGCTGTGTCAGATCTCTTCTTCACTTTAGGGCTGCCCTTTTGGGCTTACTACTACATCCATGGATGGACATTAGGAGAGCCTGCATGCCAAGTCATCAACTTTATTTTCTATGTTGGCTTCTACAGCAGTGGTTTCTTCCTCATCCTGATGACGATTCACCGCTACATAGCCGTCATAAATCCTCTGTCTAGCATTGTATCCACTACAGGCCCTTCTGGGATTTTAACAAGTTTCATCGTTTGGATTGTTAGTATGTTGGCAGCCAGTCCTGTCTTCATCTACGTCGAAGTCACAGATGATCACAGCAAAAGTCAAACATACAAGAAATATTGCGGATATAAGGACTCCTTTTCTGCAAAGTTGGGAATCTGTGAACAAATTATTCTCTTTATCCTAACGGCCGTAGTGTTCGTGTTTTGCTATTCTCAGATCATATATAAGTTGCAGCGTCCAACTGCCCAAAGAAGAAGAAACAAAACTGTCAAACTCATTTTCATTCTTATGGTTGTCTTCTTCTTGGGGTGGGGACCTTATAATTGTGTAATTTTTCTAAGGGCATTGGCTTATGGGCACTCACCAATTGCATCTAATGATTATGAAATAAAAATAGCTTGTGAAAAACACATAAACATGCAATATGCCCTCTACATCACCCGACTCCTTGCCTTTTCGCACTGCTGCCTGAACCCTGTGTTTTACGTGTTTGCAGGAGTTAAATTCAAAACCCATTTAAAAAAACTGCTGCAGAACTTGGATCGTGGCAACAGCAGCACCTCCTCCAACAGAGTGAGCAGGATCACAATCACGTCTTTAACCAGCAACGAATTTTCCACATAGCTATAGAAATATACAAATTTATGTATTAGTATTTGAAAGCATGAAACAAATTCAAATCAAATTTAAGTAATCCTTTTTTTTTATTTTGCAGCTCTTACATAGAGGGGAAATCCAATATTTGCTTTTAATTTCAGACACAGTGGGAGCTGTTTGTGCCTCTAAGATCTAACAACTGGACTTTTTTATTACTGAAGACTCCTCAATGTGTAAATGGTCCTAGCTATCAGAAGCTAAACTTAAATACTTTTAATGAGTCTTTGACCAATCAATCCATACTAAATATTTGTAAATGCACTGCTAATTTGATAGGAAAACAACTTATTTGTCTACTTGTACTGTAACATATAATAGAAACGTTTGGAACATATGCAGCAAAATAAAATGGGCTTATGACATTCTTTTTTTTTTCATCAGTTTTTATTTGGTGATTCTATGTTAGTATTAAATCAAATTACTTGATGATGTTCTTTGATGGATGAAAAGTTGTTATAATGTAAATTAGCAATGCTTGGTTTCATGTACCTGTAAACTGCTTTGTTTTAGGCTTTTCATTGTACACTTGAACCATACATTTAGATCATTTTGTTCATTCTGTGATTCCCCATATACATATGCACGTGTATACTTTCTACTTATTGTATTACTGATCTCTTGTTGATTTGAAGTTCAAATTAAATAGAACTCTTGGTAATCTTGCCTCCTGTTCCTCATTTATATTTGTATTCTACACAAGCAGATTTTATGATGACTGTTTCAACATTTAATACAATTTTTATTACATCAACACTAATTTAGTATTAAGCATAGCAATAACAGAATTATATGAATTACATTATATAAATCTTATTATTTGAGGTCATTGATCAATTTACTTTAAAATAAACTCCAAGGAAGATGTTTTCTGATAGATACACGATACGACTCCTCTAGACACCAAGTCAAACAGGGACTTTTTGGCATCTACCAGACCAAATCAGCTGCATATTCAGTGGCTCTCAAAAGTGAACCACTTTTAGAATCCTCAAATTTTGATATGAAAAATTAGAGAAATAAGTAATTTAAAATCTTTTTGCACTCGTCAAATTATAGTAAACTATATGTATTCAGCAAACTTCAACTTGAAAATAAGCAGTATGTAGAGAAGAAAGTAGAAAACCACCATGAAGGTGTTATAGCCAGATGGACAAATCGGTCTTGTTCAAACCGTTGGTACCTGGACCACAGGTGGTCCGCGGTCGCCCCCTGGTGGTCCTTACGGTATTCCATGTAAACGATCGTTATTTCTTGTGACGTCAGCTCAAAGTGCGACGCATACAGTTAATCAAAGAATTGTGTTTCAAAATAATAGTGGATAAGTGGCTTAAAACCCAGTCACTCAAAAGAAAAACTGAAGATATCTGTGGAATAAAACCAGCAGGACACTTTATATGACCGGAGTACCTGCTGAGATGAATCGTTCACTAGTTATTCGATTCTACAAAACGGCTCTTTGCTAGCTTCAGTTAGAGAGAACTTTGTTTTTTGGGGGGTTAGGGGGATGTTACGATTTTGCTTGCTTATAATGCTCTACCCGCACGTCAATATCTATTGTTGTTTTTATTTATTATTATCATTTTATTTAAAAAGTTTAAATTCAACTAATTAAATACAATACATAAATAAGATTCTTTTTGTTTCTTTAAAAGCAATCATTTTACTTTTATTGTGCTTCCACATAAATGGGTCTGAATGTTATTTATTAGCACAGCACTTTGATTTCTATGTGTTTGACACAATTGGAAAGCATTTAGAATCTGTAAATAACTAAAAAATGCCTCGATTTGATTTGTTCACGACAGTAAGTGTGTTAAGAGCCTAATATTTTAACAAAATCATGGCTGTGAGTTTACATAAATTTCTTCATTTATTCTTTTAATTTCTGTTTGTTTAGTCCAGAAGTTGTTTCTCCTGACATTCGTTGAAGGTCGATGGTTACCATAGCAAACAATACACGTCTCTTGGCCCAGCGGCTCCCTGCAGTCCCGTCTGCAGCCAGAGGAGGCGCCGTGCCAGGAGAGGCCTAAAGGTTGGAGCTGAAAATTCTATGGCCGTCGCTACGTGCGGTACGTATTAGGATCAGCTATGTGTTTCCTTTACAAGTACTGGATTTTAACAAATATTTTAGACAAATTAAATCATATTCGGTGTCATTCCACTATGTTCTGTGCATGTTTTTAACTCTTACCGTTTTTTAAAGTTTAGAACCGTTAACTGCTACTAACTGCGGTTAATTGCCGTCAACCGCTGCCAAGTGTTGTAATATGTTGTGTTATTGATGGGCCAATTTCAAGTTGGGGGTCCGTGGTGTTTGCTGAATAGCTTTAGTGTTCCTCAGCCTGGAAAAGTTTCGGAAACACTACTTTAAAACATTCCCCACCTTGCCCCCCTTTCTGTTTACAGCGCCTTTGGATTCATTTTCAGCCACAGTGATGTTGCCTTGACTGTTTAAGCTGCCATGTTGGATAGTTGGACTGAAGATGGCAGCACCTGTCTGAGGTAATGTTAGTATGAAGAGATGTCTCATTTCTTTCTCTTGTCAAAACTGGTTTAAAAACAAAATATATATTTTGGGAGAGATTTCTAGATAAGCTCAAAACGTTTGATACTTTAAGAAATGTTGGATTTTTCCGATCAAAGTCAAGAATCAGACAAAAACCCATGGAGTCTGATAAAAAAAGAACTATGAAAAGAAAACCATCCCCTTTCTCCCATGAATGTATGAACATGTGCAGACAGACAAATGCAGGTTAAAAAAAGGTGCAGCACAATCACTTCATTTAACTTACAGCTTTTGTACAGTTAAATGCTGTATTTCAACACCTATTTAATAATTCAAGATTATTGTCACTGTAATATTGTCAGACAAAATTCATGTTGGTACCCTAAAGGAAGACAAGGTTAAAATAATAGATCAAAACAAAACCAAGCAACAATTATTAAACAGCAAATAAATATAATAGAAAAAACGATTAATGAAAATAAAAAGATGGACAAATTATAGAGCAAAGTAGCAAAAACGCAGCAAATAAAGGGCAATCTTTAACTATTAATTGGGTTTGTACAGCAAGTTATATGACTGAAAAAAAAGTCTCAATGGCAAGAAAATCTGCATTTTCACATGGAAAGGTAGTTATTTGTTTTAGTTCTGACAACTCATTAGAAGTCAGAATTGGTCAACAATAACATCTGACTTAATTTGAAGCAGAAAAGGGAAGTTTTTGTTCTCATTTTTGCTTTTACTTTGATGTGCAGATGAGGCTTGGCAGTGTCTGTCTGTGGTAAGTTTTTTTTTTTGTACATTTTTTGTAACTAATCTGGAATAAGGTGCTATAAAATTGAATGAATGAAATTATACTTGGTCTTTATTGGAAATCTCAAAGTCCTAAACTTGTCTTCCTATTCCTTAGACAATCAGCAATGGACTTCATCCACAACAGCACAGCCAAAGATGAGGACATCTTAAATCTCTTCATTCAAAATATGACTTGTGAGGTTTTTGACTTTTCACCCATCAATGGAGCTGTGTTCATCACAATCTTCATCCTCAGCATCATCGGCAATGTCCTCCTCTTATGTATTCTGTTTATTTGTGAAAAACATAATCTTTTCACATATATCTTCATTATAAATCTTGCTTGTTCTGATTTGATCTTCACTGCCTCAGTCCCCTTCTGGGCTGTCTACCACCTTCACTATTGGGTCTTTGGGGACTTTTTGTGCAAATTCATCATTTGGATGCACTTCACTGGTCTCTACAGTAGCATCTTTTTACTCATGGCAATGACTGTGGATCGTTTTTGTACTGTGGTGCTGAACAACTGGCCAAACGACAATCAGAGGAAGAAACGTTATAGCATCGGTGCCTGTGTGGTTGCCTGGCTGATAAGTATTGGTCCATCTGTGTATGATGCTTCCAAAATGGAGCTGTCTGATGATTACTACTGTGAAGTTTATCGTATTGATGAGGTTGGATATTATTTTCAAGTTGCTTTGCTGATTTTGATCCCAACTGTCATTATTATTTTATGCAATTGTGCCATTATATATACTATTTTACGAGCTGCACACAGGACAAGGCACAAAGCTCTAAGTATAGTTTGTTGTATTGTTGTAGCCTACATCATCTGCTGGGGACCCTACAATATTGTACTTTTTGTTCAGTCCACAAACTGTGAAGAAATGCAGCGGATGAATATTGTCTACAGTATCTGTCGAATGCTTGCCTTTTCCCACTGTTGGATAAACCCTTTTCTATTTATGCTCACACAAAAAATCCGAAATCACCTGCTTTATATTTTGCGCTACCGAGTTGCTAGAACAAACAGTGAGAGAGGCAGTGGCCAGGCTTATATTCAGAATGCCAGTGAATCTCGCAGTTCACGTCTTTAAGCAACATTGCTGAAATTCAAGAGTACTTGTTATATAGTACATGCATATGGAATCTAGAATATTATTCCAAATAGATTGGCATGAGATGGCTTACCACGCTCAAATAGTTGGAAGTATATATAAATAAAGAAAAACAAAACTTTTTTGCACATGGGTGATGAGAACAAATGGATCAAAAAATACAGTTTTGTAATATTAGTGTAAAGGTGATAGTCAGCTTTTTTATGTTCAACTTATTTTTCTCTTTATTTCTATTTCTTATTTTAATTTTTTTTTTTAAGAAATGGTAAGGGATACGTGTACTGTAAATGTGAATGATAAAACAGGACAAAAAGCACTGTTACAAACAGATATTGCTGATTAGGAAATACCAAGAACAAAAAGGGAAAGATATATTAGTCATTTATTTGAAAATTTTCGTATTTTTTAAATGTTTAAATTAGTTTAATCCTTTGTTTTGATGGATTTTTGGTAATATGAAACCAAAAATCATCAGCACATAGTTAACTGCTAAATTAACTATGTATTGAGTTATGCTGAATTGCTGTTGCTGCTTCAGTGTAGTTTTGTTTATTTTGTACCTGTTACAGTTTTTGGAGTTCTTTTGTGGGTGTTCTGCTTGAGTACATAAATCATTTCAGCTTGAAAAAAAAAACCCATATTGTTCTGCTTCTCTTTGCAGTTTTCTTTAATAAGTGGAAATTTGTTTGCCTAAAACTGTAGTGACCCCAGAAAGGTGGTTAGATGAAAACTCAGAATTTGAGGTCATAAATAATTAAACTCCTGACAGAGTAGCAAACTCTGTCTCCGCAGAGTACGGTTACATCTTATAACGTTTACATAGGATGTAACCGTTATTAGAATAACGGTCCTTTAATCATGATATTGATATGTTTCTAATGCAAATAGCGTACCCCTTTTCTAAGTAGAAATAGATGCTAAAAGGTGAAGGCAATTTTATTTATGTAGCAGATTTTCAGCAACAAGGCAATACAAAGTGCCTTAAAGGATTTAAAAGGAAACACAAACAAAATAGCAAACCAAAGGAAAAAGCAAAAGAAGAAAAAGCCAATAATGTTGATCCAAAGTAAATTAAGTAGTTACTCCAATTCAGGGTTGCTAGATAAGTCTAATTCCTTTTCTGGTTTGGAAGAACAGGAGTTTAAAAAGTAGTTGGTAAAATAGTTTTTTGGGTTCTGGGGTTAGTCTTGGTATTTTTATTCCAGTTAAATCATTAGAAAATGGATCTTAGTGTATCTAATAAGAAAAATAATCCTTGATTATATGTAAACAATTTGATTGATGAGAAATTTATCTTCTTTAATAAGTAGAGTAAGATCATAAAGTAGATTGTATCTTGCAAATCCTAAAAACGAAAGGAAGAAAAAGGGGATGAAAGAAAGAGAAGTTTTTTTTTAAATAGCATCATATTTATTTTTCAATTAATATAAAATATATCCGTTTTACAACCTAAGACACATTCACATAGAGTTAAAAATTAACTGTCCATTACACAAAACACATTGTTAACCTATCAGAGAGAAAAACTCAGTTTATTTATTAATTAAAAAACACAAATTCAGCTTTTACTTTGTCAACCAGCAGAGTAAACACTGTCAACATTTTCCTCTGCAACATTGTTTATCTCCATGTCTGGTTTTAAATGTTATTCTCCTTTCTTTTGTAATCACTGTGCTGTAAGATACTGTGATGCACGGACATGTTTGGGACTTTTTTTTCTTTCATTTTTGTTGGGTTTTTACTTCCCTGTTCTAAACAAAATCTACCACATTGGGATAGTCTGAAGCTTAAAAAAATGCTAAGGCACACTTTTTTTGTCCCACATGAAACAAAGTCTAAGTCCAAGACAGGAAATAATGTATACATGACACACATAATGCGGTCATAATCCAAACATCATTAGCTGGAGTATGTCATACCACTAAGATAATGTCACCTGCGTTTGTGTCTGTAAGGACATTGTGAAACTCTTACAAAACAGACACTTCATCAAAGTTGTAATGATTCAAGAAACTGTAATCCAGTTATTTTTTGAATAATTGGAAATTGTATAAGTTGAATGTTTCACTTGAATTTGAAATAATGTGACGTTTTTGTGCCTTACCAAGGACAGAGTGGAAGATATGTTACAGTTTATGACATTAGAAACTTTAAGATTTTTTTTCTCTTCAGCTTTTTGTTTTGAGATTATTGTCAGGGTGTGATGGGCTTCATGAATAAAATGTCATTTGTTTAGTGTATTTGGAGTATTTTTGACTGTTTCTGCATTAAATTTGAATGTATTTTGAATTGTAGGTTCAGTCATAAATGCTTCATCAAAAAAAAAATCCCTCTGACCTGTTTTTTTTTATTTCCTCATTAGATCATTTGTGGTTTTCTTTCATGACCATAAAAAGTCGGCAATGGACACCAACAATGATTGTTTACTTCTTCGAGAATGACAGCAATAGTCACACGGAAAATCTTCCGATAAACGGGAAGACTTCAGTATGCTTTTGTATGCAAAAACAAAATCGTTCTTGTCAGCATGCCTGAAAACTCCTTCCTCTCAAGGTTTCTTCTGAGGAACAAAACATGGAGAACAATGTCAGACAATGTCTGACATTGCAGCTTACAGAAGCTGCAGAAAGACGATGCTTCGTGGCAATTCTTAACTTTTCTGTGTGCAGTCCACTCCATGGATGGATCTTTGACAAGTGGACCTGTGGAGGCACCTCAGGACTTTGAGTACTCCGAGAGTACAAAATCTCTCAATCGTCACCGTCATGACCTTCCACAATACTGTTACATTGAAACAACCAATCCTCAAGCTAATTTAGAGTACGGTATTTCTTCCCAGTATCACGGTGTGGCTGGTGAACCTTCTTAAACAAACAGGGAAGCCGAAAAAAAAAAGCATCAAGCTTAAGTTTGAAATATTTCACAAGGTTGTTTTATAAGAAAGAGGAAAGTTGGATTTTAAGATAAATAACACATTTCCAAATGTCACTGATTATTAACAACAGATAGATAAAAGGGGAAATGACTGCTCACAAAATGCGTTCGATTTATAACTTGTTTTAGCTTAACGTTTGCCATCCTTATTTTATTTTTTTGTTATGTTTAAGCATCTTAATAGATGTAAATCTGAAGGTCAAAACATGAGAAGCTAACTACAAGAAAAAAGGAATGTGATTAAAACTGTCTTTAATCAGGATTTTTGAACAAGTAGCATGAGAGAAATAAACCTCCATGGTGAAAAATATACATTTTCAAATGGAAAAAGTGAGATCTATTACCATTTATTTTTGTTTTGAAACACCATAAAGGGTCAGAATGGATCAGCAGTAACATCTGATGTAATCTGAAACAGAAAGAGAGAAGTTTGTCTTCTTATTTTTACTCTTCCTTTAAGTGCAGTTCAAAGCAAAAGCTTGAGGTTTCTGCTGTCTGGGGTAAGTTGCTTAACATTGTTTTGTATTTGATGAAGAATTGTGTTCTTTTTCAGTAAGATTTAACAGAAAACGATGTAAAAACCAAAAGGGTATGATGAGATAATATGCTGTGTTTTTATTAAAAATTGACAAGCTCTAAACTTGTGCTCATATTCCTTAGATATTCAGCAATGGACTACATCTACAACAGCACAGATGAAGATGAGGACAGCCTCCAAGTTCCTTGTCAGTTTTTGGAGATTTCAACCATTACTGGAGCCATGTTCATCATAATCTTTATCCTCAGCGTCGTCGGCAATGTCCTCCTCTTATGGATTCTCTTTACTTTTGAAAAACTCTATCTCTCCACAAAAATCTTCATTATAAATCTTGCTTGTTCTGATTTGATCTTCACTGCCTCAGTCCCCTTCTGGGCTGTCTACCACCTTCACTATTGGGTCTTTGGGGACTTTTTGTGCAAATTCATCATTTGGATGCACTTCACTGGTCTGTACAGTAGCATCTTTGTACTAATGGCAATGACTGTGGATCGTTTTTGTACTGTGGTGCTGAACAAAATGCGAAACAACAATCAGAGGAAGAAACAGTATGCCATCGGTGTCTGTGTAGTTGTCTGGGTGATCAGTATTGGTATATCTGTGTATGACGCTTTCAAAATGGAGCTTTCTGATGATTACTACTGTGAAGTTTCTTATTCTGATGATCTTAGATATTATTTTCAAGTTCCTCTGCTTTTTTTCATCCCAATTGCCATTATTATTTTCTGCAATTGTGCCATTATATATACTATTTTACGGACGGCAAACAGAACAAGACACAAAGCTCTAAGTGTAGTTTTTTGCATTGTTGCAGCCTATATCATCTGCTGGGGACCATACAATATTGTACTTCTCATTAAGGATTTGTACAAACCCAAAGACTGTGACGAACTGGAGCGGTTGGATATTGTCTACAAGGTCTGTCAAATCCTTGCCTTCTCCCACTGCTGTATGAATCCTCTGCTTTGTATGCTCAACCAAAAGGTTCGAAGTCACCTGTTTTATCTTTTATGCCACAGAGTTGGTATTATAAGAGAAAGAGCCAACTGACCAGAACATGTCTCATGTTGAGAATACCAGTCCAGCTCGCAAAACACATGTCCTGCGTAAGCTGCACAACAGATAAGGAAACTCCCAAACACCAGCTTACACAAGACGAACTCTCTTTTTTAAATTTATATCTGTACCGGTTTGCACAGATTATATTTAAATGGTGCATCTGAAAGCCAGAAGTACTAATTATAATACACAAATATAGAATCTTAAAAGTCTGAAGAGTAATGTTTCAAGCATTCTTAAAATATTTCTCTTTTTGACACCAAATCTTGTTTTTGCATGTTGGGTCTGTGGATCTGAATTTATTTTATTTTATTTTTTTCAAATTAACACAATTTATTGTGAGGACAATGTTAGTCAACTCAGTTATTTTCTTCTTTCTATTTGCTTTTTGATTTGTTTTATAAGTGATTAAGACTACATCTATAAATGTAATACTGTTAGGGCAATACCAAGCACAGTTCTATGATTGAGGAGCAATAAATGAAAAAAAATTGTTTTGTATTTTTTTTACTTCTTTATGTAGCATTTTCAATCATTTGAAACTGCTGTTTGACTAGTTCTGAGTTATGTTAAATTTTGCTATTAGTGCATGGGCTGAGTTTGTTTTACCCATTTTATGGTTTGTGTGTTTTTGAGTAAATAAAATATTTTTATTTGGGGGAAAAAAAGTCTTCTCAACATATATAGACTTAGACTTGTACTTTATTGATCCCTTGGGAAGACTCCCTCAGGAAATTAAAGAGATATATGCCCAATTTTCTAAAAAATTAGGAAAAACTATGCTTCTTTGTAGTGTTTCTTGAGTAAGGGGGAACAGGCTTATTACTGAAATATGTGATTAAAAAGTCTTTAATGACCACTTACACACACCTTTTCTCCCATATATTTAAAATACATGCATGTTTGGATGACTTCTCATGTCCTGTGCTTATAGTAAGTCAGATCATATTTATGAGGATATGTTTCAGTGTCTTTTGTGTGCATAATCATTTTTTTATCTATCCTAGAGTAAAAAAAAAAACACTGTAAAATCTAATTTATTGAATTTACCTAATAAATCTGAGGTAACAATTCGCATTGACTCTTTTGGGGTAGATTCAATTCCATATATTGAGTATAAAATAATTTAACAAAAAATATATGAAATACTCAAAGAAATTGGGTAAAATTTGCCTCATATTTATGTATATATTCAACAGCTACTTACTCAGCTAAATTAGGTAAAACTATGTCTTGTTTGCGAGTAGGTAATACCTGATAATTACAAATCAAAGTTAATTAAAATCAGTTAATATCCATTACTTTTTCAGAGAAGGTCAGATGTACCCCCAAAAAAGACATTCAGATCGTACACCTTCTCAATGTTTTTAATCCATAAAGTCATCAAAAACACAGAATAAACTACAACACAACAGTGTCACACAACATTTCAAATAATGAACCTGTGTTATAACCTAACAACTTCAAATGTTGTTTCAGTTATGTTGGACAATAAAACATATCCCCGTTTTAGGACATCCAGATTGCTCAATAAGAAAGGAGTAGATCAGAGAAAAGGAGAAGTGAGGAGAGAAGAGAAAATGAAAGGAGAAGTGAGGAGAGAAGAGCAGAGGTGCAAGGGATGTCCAATCTCATGAAGATCTTCTTGTCCCGCCGCTCATTCAAAAACGCAGTCTGACGCATGCGCAACTTTGGAGCAACGGACTTAAGATTTGGGGGTAGATTTTACTGTATTATGTAATGATTTTTAATGTTAACGAATGGGTAGCATATGTATAATTTACTCATTGTTTTATAATTCTTTGACTGACTGAAAAAATAAATTACATTTTATATAATTTGTGCACTCATCATATTTACCACTCTCCAAAATCACTTTTTTCAGTGCAGAAACAACAAAATCACCCATCAAAATTTTTGGAATTGGTTAAATTCTGGATTTCATTTTAATCATGATAGTGGATTATTTGCAAACATAATTAATAAAAACTTAAGTGTAAATCTATGAAACCTTTTTTTCTGGTAGTTCCTACCACCAAAAAGGTCAAACAAATCAAATAGCTTCTCCCTTTAAGAAGCTTGCTATAACATATAATGATTTAATTGAATTTAATTTATTTGATTTGTTCAAACAAAATATGGATTGGAAATCCAGTTTTCCAAATTTTGGTTTTAAATTCCTTCTGATTAATTTTATTAATCTGTCAGACACAGGTTCCTTATTTATTACACACAGTAAGCCATGCCTTATTTAATTGTTTCTGTAGATATGTAAACTAGCACTGAGGGAAGTAGAATACACAAATTAAGTAATCCAATTGTGAAAGTTTTGCAAGTCCTTTTTATAAGAAGAAGGAAGATACAAGAGGAACATTTTATATTACAAAAGGAACTTTTTCTCACATGATGAACAAACTAAACTATTCTTCACTTCCTCTTGGTGAATGCATTATTCATTTCTTAAATACTGTGGTGAATAAATTAACCCACAAGGGGGCAACAAAAAGGAATGAAATGTAATTCTAGTAATGGCCTGTAATCATAATTTCTTTTCAGTGTTACATTACTTGACTTTTGATTAATCATCTCAGAGTTAAATTATGAGACACACATCCTGATGTTGTGCAATTCATAGAAATTGTACTTCAAAGCATGATGCTTCTGCTGCCATATTTTACTGTGTGCATAGAAATCTTTTGGTTGATGCCCAATGAAGCTAGATTTAAGAATTGTAACCTTTATTCTGATCAATGACCATGACAGTCAAGCCTGAATTTTTCTTATGAAGAAAGACCTCTGTCTTTCAACTTCTGTCAAATCGACTCCTTAGTTTAATTAGACAAAGAGAACACAGTGAATTTCTGTTATTATGAAAAGCAGTCATTGGAAGTTTTTAAAATTATTTTAATATTGCTGTTAATTCCTTAACAACCCCCTCCAGCTAGTTTCTGAAATGTCTTATCAATGATTTCTAAGAAATGTATTGTGTGTCTTGTATTTTGCAGTAATAGTGATAATAAAATAATAATGATAACAATACAGTGGGACTTTTTGCGCTTTTGCCCTGATACCTCCGTACCTTAGCTAAAGGTGAATCGGATTCAGCGTAAACTCAGGAAGACTGAATGCTGGAAAGTGGTTTGAACCAAAGTTACTAGCTGTAATTCTACATGAGAAAATGAACTTGTGTCTTGTCAGAAAGTCTACAACAGAGCGATATTTCTATGTATATTCTCTAGAAATATGATTTTCTTTATTTTTTTTCTCTGGGAAAATGATCTGCAGTGCATTTCTCTGGAGTCCTGTAGGTATACTCAAACTTGGCCCCGATTGCTCAACGTCTGGGGGCGGGGGTCCGGAGAGGAGTGCTCAGGGACAGCTCAGTGGGTCTCTGTAACAGCAGCCACATCTCTGGGGCTAGATTAAGCTTAATTAACTAAACCATCCAGCATGCTTGAATGAATGGATAGAAGTCAAGGGCAGAGCAGTCACAGGAGCGATCGCACATTCTCTGGCATGAAAGAGCTTTGTGTTGGATTTTAACTGGATGTGTAAAATTTGACACTCTAGCTGTTCAAAGCCATGTTTAAGGCCAAGTACAATAAACAGGGCTTGTTCTGCCTTAATTGCATTGATCTATGAACGACTGAAAGCATCACTTCAAGGTTTTTCCGTATTGGGAAAAGTGTTCACATTATTAATTAAGATCTAAAGTAGCAGACCAAGTCACGAAAGTGCATTTATAAAGTGAAAGATATAGATTTCAGAATTTTACGACAGGAAAAAAATAATTTATATTACTTTGGCCTTTCTCTGATGCCATTGCATAACATCTCCAAATTAGTAAATTTGAGTCCAACTGTGTATAATCAGTATAATTTTTTAAAAAGGCCTCAGAGAACAAACAGCATCATAAAGACCAAAGGACTCTGCACACCATCTTGAATATACTTGGTAAATACGGTGATGACCAAATCATGCTGAAAAATACATTATAATACAAAACGTGAAAAAAGTTCAAAGGTTGTTAATACTTACATTTAAAGGTACATTACATTTAAACATTTTAATAAAAGGAACTGACTGAACTGGTTAAACTCTACAACATCACCTCATAGATCAGAAAGAACGAGTCAAACTTGAGATGTACGCTCTATCCTGCAGAGATCCTGCTTACAATTTCAGAGCATCCCACTTCTTTTGAGTCAGTGCATTCTCATCTCCAAGTTCATTTTCTCAGCAAATGATGTTGTTCACTCGTCTTTTTAGCCACAAGCAAAACAGCTGTTGTTGTTTTCTTATGTAGTCAGTGCTACTAGCCTTCCATGGCCTTAAAATTCCTGCCATTCTCGCATTTTCTCCCAGGCAAGTCGCACATCAATATCTCCCCTTTAATTTCAGTTATCTGTAACGATAATTACTCTGACCATATGTGAATTTAATTGATGCCTTTCAAATGTGTGAAATGTGTGTGCGTACTCTGTTCATGTTGCTAATAAAGTCTTATTGCTTGTTAATCTGGACTGTCAGGAAAACGCATGCAAATCGATTAAGTGTGCCAGTCCTTTCTAACAACTGTTTTGTTCGATAAATATTGACAACTTAATCCTTATGTGGCAAATGCCGACATTTATGTCATTTCATTAATGGAACTTATCCTGAAATTCTCATCAAGTTTGTCATGGGAAATTTAAAACAGAACAAAAAAAGGAGAATAAACAAATTAATCTCAAACATAAAAGCAAAAAAAAAAAAAAAAAAAATACTGAAAAAATGAAAAATGCTGCTCAAACACAAATACAAAATGATGTTTAAAAACCTCTTTAAAATATAGACTTGATTTAAAGAAGCGTTGTGATTTATCAATTTCCTCTGCAATACTGCTGTCTTCCGCTAGAGGGCAACTTATACTGGACTAAAGCAGTTTTTACATTTTGATATCACAGTTCCGTCTTACTGCACATACTGTAACAAAGCTGACAAGAAGTTATTGGTCCATACACATATATGTTCTCTGATGTGAATTTTATGAACACGTTTTTGGGCTCCTGGTGCGTTTTAGACACAAACCATGAAGAACAACTGCAACCTGTCTCTGATATATCTTAGGGTCATCCTCCCCTTTTTACCTGCTGTTGTCAGATCGGGAAAAAAGCACAGTGATTAACTACCGTGGAGACTTAATTAAGAAATCAAACATCTGGATATTCAGACTGAGCTTTGCT